TACCGGTTTGTGTTCTTCCTTTGACTTATGTCCATCTTTCTAAATAATCTTTGTACTCTATGTCGATTCATCACTTGTAGTCATCTATTGCCTTTCTGTTAAAAAGGGAAGGATTCAGGTCTCTCATAATCACTTCTATCACTGGGTCTTGTCAAGGTGGAGTATGATAATTACCAGTTGAATCTGAGCATCCGTGTTATGGCTGTAAATATCACTCACAGCTGAGAAGAGAGATGTCTAGTGAACTGTGTGCTTCCTCTTTGGTATGCCTGGTTTTTAGGAGTTTTCCTCGTCTCTCTGTCAGCTTCTTAATTCAATTTTTTATGTGGTGAAACTCACCAGAAAACCTATCATTTTCAGTAATTTTCTGGAGCCGTCTGAAGCCGGATCCCTTTGGGTCTATGTGCTCCTCGTTCTTGTCCTGGGGTTTCTCCTCATTATCCATTTAAAATTGCACCTTCTCTCTGGGCACTCCTGAGTCCCCATTTACCTGATTTTCCTTCTCCCCCGCAGCATTTCTTACCTTCTAACATCTCATAAGATTTGCTTATCCATTATGCTTACTGTCCCGCCTGCTCCCAACCACAAGCCTGTGGTGCTGCAGTTCCATGAGGGCAGAGATTTTTGTGTTTTGTCACAAAGGAATCGCCAATGTCTAGCACAGTTCCTGGCACGTTGGGAAGGTTCGATACATATTTGTGGAATGGACAAGTCCTGATACTTCCCTTCATCGCCATCCTGCTTGTTCTGTTTCTTCCCGTTTCCTGGATCTCATGCCTCCTCTCTTGGTTTACTCCCTCATTTGGTGGAGAACAGCCTTCAGGAACTTTCTGAGAAAAGGTGCTTGTGAGTCTATATATTTTTAGACTCCATAGCTATGTATATATTTACACTCACATTTAGTGTACAGTCTGGCAGATTTCTTCAGATGTAAGATGGTAATAAATAGTATCCTATAGGGTTGTGATGAGAGGTAAGATAAGTCATACAAAGTGGTTAGCCTTCCCTGAGGATTACAATAAATAGATAAAGGTTGGTGGGAGGCCAAGAGCAGGGCTTTGCATTTCTGTGTTCTGGGACCCAGTAACTCTGTGACCAAGGGTGGGCAAGTCACCGAAGCCTCAGTTTCCTCATGCAAATAATGGAAATGGTCATAGCATCTACTCTTTATAGATAGTAGGGGTAATGATGTAGGTTAATGTTCCCAAAGTTCCAAATGTTGGATGTGGCTTGGTGTGGTGGCAAGAGCCAGCATCTACCTTGAGCTTGTCTTTGTGTCCACTGAGAGTGAGTGTCTGAAGTGGAGTCGGCAGTGGGTGATTGACAGCATGTAACTCAGCATGGAAGTCCTGAGAGGGACACTTGCATTTAGACCAAGTGAAGCATTTATCCTAAGGAAATAAGTAAGGGTGTGCCTGGATTTAAGTGCAGGGACTTCTGGGGGAGAATTCCAGAAGCCACTTCAGTGTCAGTTAAGAGAGAGCTTGACCAATCCCTGGATCTATTAGCTATAGGCTTCCTCCAGTGGAGTCCTCCGAGGCCCTTACAACTGAGGACGACGGCAATCAAATGTCAGGAGAGCTGTACAGGATACAGGATGATAGTGTTTAACTGAGCTCTTCTGGGGAAGGGGTTACACTTGCCTTTTTATTGTTTTTAAAAATAAGTTAATGTGCAGAGGACTGGAAGGCCCGAATGTCAAACAGGCTCTAGAACCTAATGGTCCAAGCATAGCTTCTGGCATGTGGATACAAAGAAGCTGGTTCTGCCACTACGACACCTAGGGCAAGTTACAGAGCTGCACCAGGTTTCAACTTCCTCATCTGAAAAGTTGGGCAATAGCTGAGAAGTTCGTTTAGAGTAAATGAGATTAGGCTTGAAAATTCCTTACTGAGTAATTGCTGAGTAAAGTTAGGGGGTCTCTCTGCTATCTAATAATTGTAGCCAATGAGTAATGGTTCATTTATTTTGTTGTTACGTCTTTATTGTCTAAATTGTTATTTATAAAAATAAGTGGGTATTTCTTTTGAAAACAGAAAAAAGATTATTTTAAAATATGCAAACCTTTAGGTAACAAAGATGATTCTAGTTTTGTCTAAAGGACATCACCATAGCACAATGAGAATGTACTTAATGCCACCGAACTGTACACTAAAATGGATAAGGTGGTAAATTTTGTGTTTTCCCACAATTAAGAAAAACCGCCAACACCATCATCATCATCGATAACAACTACAAAAAAATTGAACATCATCATCATCAAGTACAAAACGAAGGTTGTAAGTAAAAGAAGATTCTGAAGGTGTCCCTGGGACTATTAGCCTGGATGAGATAAGATTTTCTGCCTCATGAATATGACTCGATAGCCTAAATTTCTTACCGTGAACACTACTTAGGTTTATAACTCGCAAAATTTGGTCTCTCGGTGTTTATGTAGAGCACAGCATCTGAGTCTGAGCCGCTTTTGGGGCCCAGCCCTGCTTCTGCTCCGGGTGTGACCTTGGTCCGCCTGACTCCTGCTAGCCTCAGTTTCACGATCTGGGAGTTTGGGATGACAGCTCCGACCCCGCCCTGTGACTCTGGAATTGGCTCGAGTGAAGTTCCCCCGCCCTGAGACGGAACCAGGCAGCTCTCGCCCGTCGGGCCTCGACCCGGGGGCGCCGGCGGGGCGATGAGGACCGCGGCGGAGCGACGGCGTGATCTGTCAATGGGCGCGGGCGGAGGCGGCGGTGTGGCGGAAGTCCCGCCCAGCACA